GAGTCACAAGTACAATAATTGTGTATAGAAGCTGCAACCACTCACTACCCTGCAACCACACCACGCTGCAGTCACCCTCACCATGCTGCAACCACGCTGCAGTCACCCTCACCATGCTACCACCATGCTGCAGTCACCCTCACCATGCTGCAACCACGCTGCAGTCACCCTCACCATGCTACCATCACGCTGCAGTCACCCTCACCATGCTACCACACGCTGTAGTCACCCTCATCATGCTGCAACCACACCACGCTGCAGTCACCCTCGCCATGCTGCAACCACACCACGCTGCAGTCACCCTCACCATGCTACAACCACACCACGCTGCAGTCACCCTCACCATGCTACAACCACACCACGCTGCAGTCACCCTCACCATGCTACAACCACACCACGCTGCAGTCACCCTCACCATGCTACAACCACACCACGCTGCAGTCATCCTCACCATGCTACAACCACACCACGTTGCAGTCATCCTCACCATGCTACAACCACACCACGCTGCAGTCACCCTCACCATGCTACAACCACACCACGCTGCAGTCATCCTCACCATGCTACAACCACACCACGCTGCAGTCATCCTCACCATGCTACAACCACACCACGCTGCAGTCACCCTCACCATGCTGCAACCACACCACGCTGCAGTCACCCTCACCATGCTACAACCACACCACGCTGCAGTCACCGTCACCATGCTACAACCACACCACGCTGCAGTCATCCTCACCATGCTACAACCACACCACGTTGCAGTCATCCTCACCATGCTACAACCACACTACGCTGCAGTCACCCTCACCATGCTACAACCACACCACGCTGCAGTCACCCTCACCATGCTGCAACCACATTACGCTGCAACCACTCACCACCCTGCAACCACACCACGCTGCAGTTACCCTCATCATGCTACAACCATACCATGCTGCAGCCACCCTCGCCATGCTGCAACCACACCACGCTGCAGTCACCCTCACCATGCTACAACCACACCACGCTACAGTCATCCTCACCATGCTGCAACCACACCACGCTGCAGTCACCTTCACCATGCTGCAACCACACCACGCTGCAACCACTCACCACCCTGCAACCACACCACGCTGCAGTTACTCTCATCATGCTACAACCATACCATGCTGCAGTCACCCTCGCCATGCTGCAACCACACCACGCTGCAGTCACCCTCACCATGCTACAACCACACCACGCTGCAGTCATCCTCGCCATGCTACAACCACACCACGCTGCAGTCATCCTCGCCATGCTACAACCACACCACGCTGCAGTCACCCTCACCATGCTGCAACCACACCACGCTGCAGTCACCCTCACCATGCTACAACCACACCACGCTGCAGTCACCCTCACCATGCTACAACCACACCACGCTGCAGCCACTCGTCATGCCTGCAACACACCACGCTGCAGTACTCTCACATGCTGCAACCACACCACGCTGCAGTCACCCTCATCATGCTACAACCACACCACGCTGCAGTCACCCTCACCATGCTGCAACCATACCACGCTGCAGTCACCCCTCACCATGCTACAACCACACCACGCTGCATTCCTCACCATGCGCAACCACACCACGCTGCAATCACTTTCACGCTGCAACCACCCTCACCACGCTACAACCACACCACGCTGCAACCACCCTCACCACGCTACAACCACACCACACTGCAATAACCCTCACCACGCTGCAATAACCCTCACCACGCTGCAATAACCCTCACCATGCTGCAACCACCCTCACCACGCTAGCACACCAACTGCATCACTCACACGCCGCAGTCAACCTCACCACGCTGCATAACACTACCTGCTGCAACCACCCTCACCACGCTACAGCCACACCACACTGCAATCAACCTCACCACGCCGCAGTCACCCTCACCACGCTGCAATCAGCCTTACCATGCTACAATCAGCCTCACCACGCTGCAGTCATCCTTACCTGTACATCACCTCACCACACTGCAGTCAGCCTTACCATGCTACAATCGCCCACACCACGCTGCAATCAGCCTCACCATGCTGCAACCACACCACGCTGCAATCTCCCTTACCATGCTGCAATCATCACCACGCTGCAACCACACCACGCTGCAATCAGCCTCACCACGCTGCTGCCAGCCTCACCACGCTGCAATCCCCTTCACGCTCCAACCACCCTCACCACGCTAAAACCACACCACGCTGCAATCAACCTCACCATGGCATGCAAACCACACCACGCTGCAATAAGCCTCACCATGCTGGAACCAGCTCACCACGCTGCATAACCTCACCATGCTGAAACCACACCACGCTGCAATAACCCTCACCATGCTGCAACCACACCACGCTGCAATAACCCTCACCATGCTGCAACCACACCACGCTGCAATAACCCTCACCATGCTGCAACCACACCACGCTGCAATAACCCTCACCTGCGTAACCACACCACGCTGCAATAACCTCACCATGCTGCAACCATCCACGCTGCAATAACCCTTCACTGCTCAACCACGCTGCAATAACCCTCATGCTGAAACCACACGCTGCTATAACCCTCATGCTGCAACCACACGCTGCAATAACCCTCACCATGCTGCAACCACACCACACTGCAATAACCCTCACCATGCTGCAACCTCACCATGCTGCAACCACCACGCTGCAATCGGCCTCACCACGCCGCAGTCACCCTCACCACGCTGCAAACAGCGTCACCACGCCGAAGTCACCCTCACCACGCTGCAGTCACCTTCACGCTGCAACCGCCCTCACCACGCTACAACCACCCTAACCACTGCAACCACCCTCACCACGCTACAACCACCCTAACCACTGCAACCACCCTCACTACTCACATTGCCTCTACACTCGTGTATACCTCTTGTACACATGTACACTCACGTAGACTCACAGCGTTTACACTCCCACAGTGTATACATAGTGCACACATACGCTGCATAACCACGTGTGTACATTGATCCCCCCCCCACAAGGTGCACAATTCTTGTGTGAGCATGTGCACTCCTCTCCCCTCCACCCCTCCCTCCCCTTTACCCTTCCTAGCCCTTCCCTCCACCCCTCTCCCTGTCTGTCTCGTCTTCTCGGGTGGGAAAGGCGCGTGTTGCTTGCCTGGCGAGGGGGGAGAGAGAGAGAGAGAGAGAGAGAGAGAGAGAGAGAGAGAGAGAGAGAGAGAGAGAGAGAGAGAGAGAGAGAGAGAGAGAGATGGGGGGGAGAGGGTGGCGCCCAGGGTGTGAGTTATGACTCAGGGTGTATGCACCTGCTCACACCTCCCTCCACCCCTCCATACCTCCCCTTTAATGCTCTCCCTACCTTCCCTTCCCTCCCTGCCTGTCTCCCCTTTAATGTTATCCCTGCCTTCTTCCCCTAACTCCCTATCTCCCCTTTAATATTATCCCTGCCTTCCTTCCCTAACGTCCCTGTCTCCCCTTTAATGTATCTGCTTCTTCCAACTCCCTGTCTCCCCTTTTAATGTTATCTCTGCCTTCCTTCCCCTAACTCCCTGTCTCCCCTTTAATGTTATCTCTGCCTTCCTTCCCTAACTCCCTGTCTCCCCTTTAATGTTATCTCTGCCTTCCTTCCCTAACTCCCTGTCTCCCCTTTAATGTTATCTCTGCCTTCCTTCCCTAACTCCCTGTCTCCCCTCTAAGTAATTAACAACTTTCAGTTTCTTTCCCCTGCACTTTTATTGACGTACTTGTACCCTTATTATTACCTGGCTTGTCACTGTTTACACTGGTTCACTGCATTGTTACTCGTTTAATATTTAACACTTACTTTCCTTCACTTTTCACTTCCACTGGAAGTGAAAACAAAAAAAGGCACAATTCCTTACCTGGAGAGGGTTTCGGGGGTCAACGCGTCCGCGAGCCGGTCTGAGACCAGGCCTCCTGGGGGATCAGGACCTGATTAACCAGGCTGTTACTGCTGGCTACACGCAAACCAACGTACGAACCACAGCCTGGCTGGTCAGGTACTGACTTTAGGTGCCTGTTCAGCTCCCTCTTGTGATTCAATTTACCAGGAATATTATGGCCAACCGTATCAAAACCTTGACGCATGTCGAGGAAAAGTCGATTAGTCTACTCGTTTCTTACAAGTACTGCATACACTGTTTCAAGCATTTTCTTAATCGTGTCATTAGCGCTTTTTTCGGGGTCTAATTCCTAGTTGACAAGGAGTAACCATAATGGTCAAGTACGAGCACAACCTCTTGTGGAACTCCCTCGTAAATGTTTTTCATAATGCCGATTGATTAGATACTGGTCTGGTTAGATACTGGTCTGGTTAGATACTGGTCTGGTTAGATACTGGTCTGGTTAGATACTGGTCTGGTTAGATACTGGTCTGGTTAGATACTGGCCTGGTTAGATACTGGTCTGGTTAGATACTGGTCTGGTTGGATATTGATCTGATTCGATGTTAGTCTGATTCGATGTTAGTCTGATTCGATGTTAGTCTGATTCGATGTTAGTCTGATTCGATGTTAGTCTGATTCGATGTTAGTCTGATTCGATGTTAGTCTGATTCGATGTTAGTCTGATTCGATGTTAGTCTGATTCGATGTTAGTCTGATTCGATGTTAGTCTGATTCGATGTTAGTCTGATTCGATGTTAGTCTGATTCGATGTTAGTCTGATTCGATGTTAAGTCTGATTCGATGTCAAGTCTGATTCGATGCTAAGTCTGATTCGATGTTAAGTCTGATTCGATGTTAAGTCTGATTCTATATTAGTCTGATTCAATATTAGTCTGATTAGATGTTGGTGTATAATCACTAACGGTGTTTTGATCATCATCTTTACATTTGGGTGTTATCCTGGATATTTTGAGCCAGTCTGGATTCGCTGAAAAGTAATAAGTGAAGATAATACTTATGTGTCTTGTAGATAATATTGGGTATTGCTGCTTTGTTACTAGCTGAATTTTTTAGTGATTTAATAATTATGATATTGCAGAGGTTGTGGTAGAGCCCAGTAAAAGTTTGAGCAGACATATCGACCAGATAGCTACGGATACTGGTAAGGGCCTCTGATGTGTTGTTTATAAGACTGGATCATAGAAAAAAATTTGTTGAGAGGGAGAATTTTTGTTTTTAGAGACGATTATCATCACCTGGAATGGTGTCGGAAAATCCCCCTTCCCCCGTTGAGTATAAGTTTGGAGGGAGTTACGACCCCCAGACCTCTACGTGCATGGGTCCCCTCACAGGTAATGTGCCGTAATTGCTTTAAATTTGGACATGTCAAGAAATATTGCCTGCAAGAAGCCATATGTGGTAATTGTGTTGGGGGGTGTAGTGGAGGAGGTAGTGTGTGTGTGTGTGTGTGTACTCGCCTATTTGTACTCACCTATTTGTGGTTGCAGGGGTCGAGTCTTAGCTCCTGGCCCCGCCTCTTCACCGGTTGCTACTGGGCCCTCTCTCTCCCCGCTCCATGAGCTTTATCAAACCTCGTCTTAAAACTGTGTATGGTTCCTGCCTCCACTACGTCATTTTCTAGGCTATTCCACTGCCTTACAACTCTGACTGAAGAAATACTTCCTACTATCTCTCTGACTCATTTGTGTCTTCAACTTCCAATTGTGGCCTCTTGTTTCTGTGTCCCCTCCCTGGAACATCCTGTCTTTGTCCACCTTGTCTATTCCACGCAGTATTTTATATGTCGTTATCATGTCTCCCCTGAGCCTCCTGTCCTCCAGTGTCGTCAGGCCGATTTCCCTTAATCTTTCTTCATAGGACATTCCCCTTAGCTCTGGAACTAACCTTGTCGCAAACCTTTGTACTTTCTCTAGTTTCTTGACGTGTTTTTATCAAGTGCGGGTTCCAAACAGGTGCTGCATACTCCAGTATGGGCCTGACATACACGGTGTACAGTGTCTTGAATGATTCCTTACTAAGGTATCGGAATGCTGTTCTCAGGTTTGCCAGGCGCCCATATGCTGCAGCAGTTATCTGATTGATGTGTGCTTCCGGAGACATGCTCGGTGTTATACTCACCCCAAGATCTTTCTCCTTGAGTGAGGTTTGCAGTCTTTGGCCACCTAGCCTATACTCTGTCTGTGGTCTTCTGTGCCCTTCCCCTATCTTCATGACTTTGCATTTGGCAGGATTAAATTCGAGAAGCCATTTGCTGGACCAGGTGTCCAGTCTGTTCAGGTCTCTTTGAAGTCCTGCCTGGTCCTCATCAGATTTAATTCTCCTCATTAACTTCACATCATCTGCAAACAGGGACACTTCTGAGTCTAACCCTTCCATCATGTCGTTCACATATACCAAAAATAGCACTGGTCCTAGGACCGACCCCTGTGGGACCCCGCTCGTCACAGGTGCCCACTGTGATACATCATTACGTACCATGACTCGTTGTTGCCTCCCTGTCAGGTATTCTCTGTGTGTGTGAGGGGAAGAGCCAGGGTGTTGCTGTATATATCTGACATCTAAGCTTACGCTATATCTTCCACCACTAGTCAAGATACAATATAAGTAGCTCGTATTCCTTAAAAAATAACTCGCAGGTTAGCTGTGCCTAAGCTTGCTGTGTTATAAGTTTGGCCTCCGCCGTCAAGACAAATATGAACACTATACCTTCATTTGTCAGTTCTCTGTAACTCAATTACATGAGGTTTAGAGTGCACATTCCACACAGTATTATGTAAATACCTTGCGTAGTTTGGCTGCTGTCAGCACAACCCGGTGATGACAGCGGCAGAAATCAGCAAGCTACCCTGGCCAAAGGTTGTTGTCAAGTGGCATCTCTCAACACTAAGTTAACAAGATAATGACAACTACTGAGAGTGCCAGAGTTATCATTCTCCTCACTCATTTTTTTCACCACCACTTGTCTGCTTAAAACATTAAGACTTTGTTTTTGTTGTTGTGAGTAGGAACTCTGGCTTTCCTGTTGTCTTTAAGACACGAGTCACTGGAATTTTTTCTGTCTCATATATTAATTACACAGGCGTATAACGCTTCGCCACACACTGGCTTCATCAGTCCAGTACAAAGAACAGTGTAAGGAGAGGAGTAGTTTGAGGTAATCAGTCCCTCAGTCTGGAATCTATTCCAGGATGAGGGACTGATTACCTCAAACTCCTCCTCCTCACACCGTTCTACTTTGTACTGGACTGATGATGCCACTGTGTGGCGAAGCATTTCCTCAATAAAGATTCCCATATGTTGTTTAAGTGTCTCATTCTTCAGCTTGTAGGTTTTCTAAAGCATTTATCACAGGGGCATTGTCTGCTACCCCAGCCCGGACCTGGCAACATTGTCTGCTACCCCAGCCCGGACCTGGCAACATTGTCTGCTACCCCAGCCCGGACAGCATTCAAACGCTATATATATATATAATATATATATATATATATATATATATATATATATATATATATATATATATATATATATATATATATATATATATATATATATATATATATGCACCTCTTAATGTATATATATGTATATAAACACAAGTTTTAGGTATATTGATTTTCTGGTTTATGTACACTGTTTCTCCAGTGAACGTGTGAGTGTGTTTTAGAACCTCGGACTCGGTGAGACATGTGTTTCTTTTCATTGTACAGTATTTAGGTACCTGGGTGTTGTCTCCTTATACCTGGGTGTTGGTATCCTTATACCTGGGTGTTGGTCTCCTTATACCTGGTGTTCCTGTTTAAGGCACAGTAAACAGGTGCTTCTGCGCTAGTCATCTGTTGTGGGTGGTGACCTGTGTGGCTAGGATGCTTTTAATAAACCAAGAACTTCCTGTCTCCAGGTGCAGGTATAAGTAAGTTTATTCAGGTACATAAATACAGTTACATAAATCATACATAGCAGCATATGTGTAGATTACCTAGTATAACCCCAGAAAAGGTCAGACAGTGACTTATTTCCATTGGGGTTCTTGTTATTATAAAGGACCCCAGTGAAAATAAGACGCTATCTGACTACTTTTGGTTATCCTAGGTTCTCTACACATAAGCTGCTGTGTATGATAATCTATGTAACTGTATTTGTGTATACATGAATAAACTTACTAAATATTCTACCATACACCATGTTACAAAGGAATGGAAAGGAGAATCTGTCAGGAGAAAGTTAAGCAGAAGAGTCGTACGACGACTGGAACGAGGGCGACCAGTTAAAATCTGAACGTGTGTTTAAAAACACAATGATGAGTGAGTGAGACAGGATGGAGTGAGTGAGGCTCCAGCCTCTGCTGACTGATTAAAACTGAAGCAGTATCCGAAAACGAATTACCGGCTCAGGAGACTCGTGGCCACTTTAGCACATTACAATTGTGATTTTTGTTTATAAGATGTAAAGCCTAGATCAAGAGGACATTATATGTTTAACCGTTGGAATAAGAGCATTTTATGAACATCAAAATGGTATACAATACCGACAGGTTGTTAGGGAAGACACATATGCAACAGTTAGACAACTTTATTCCGAAACGTTTCGCCTACACAGTAGGCTTCTTCAGTCGAATACAGAAAGTAGGCAGGAACAGTAGAGATGTGAAGACGATGTAATCAGTCCATCACCCTTGTAGTCGTAGAATTTGAGGTTGTCAGTCCCTCGGCCTGGAGAAGTTCAGTTCCATAGTCAGGAACTATCTGAAGATCAAGCGACAGTGCGGAGACTTAAATACTGTCGGAAGGAGGAGGAGAATGAGGTAATCAGTCCCTCAACCTTAAGGCGATTCTATTCTATTCAAGATTGATGGACTGAACACATCGACTCAAGGTTGAGGGACTGATTACCTCATTCTCCTCCTGTTCTTCAAGTTTCTCCTACGTATGGACTGATGAAGCCACTGTGTGGCGAAACGTTTCCTCAATAAAGATACCCAAGAGTTGCACATGTGTCTAATTTATCAACATGTCGGTTCTCTGAACCATTCATCTACAAACCATCATTGTTGTTGCTCCGTATTTTATTCTTTGTTGTATCTGTTAATTCTGCTGATTTCGTTGCTACTACTGTTCCTTTTTTTATTCATCGTCATCGATACTCTTCCTCATGGAAATATAAACACATATGCAGTATAATGTGATCCTTTATTGACTACGTTTCGCCCACACATTGGGCTTTTTCAAGTCACAAACAGATCTACCTGGGGTGGAAGGGACGCGAGTATTTATAGTCAGGTTCAGAATGCTGAGGTCAGGTGGAGAATGCTGCATCTGATGATGTACCGAGTGGGGTTATAGAGTCTAAAATCTTGGGTAGCTTGGAAAGGAGATTGGATAAGTTTGTGAGCAGACCTTCTACAGTGTTCTTCCATTCCTGTGTTCTTATGTGGGATAGCGATGAAGAAGTTTCTTGGCAAGTGGTTCAGCTATGTTATAGAAGCCACTATTCTGGTTGAAGTTGTCGGATATAGAAATAAGTGATGATTCCAGGATTCTTCGGTATTGAGTGTTGTCTTCTGTGGCGATAAGTCTCGAGTTTCTGTAGTTTATCAAGTGGTTGTGTGAATTACGGTGTTGTACACAGGCATTCCTTGTGTCGTCAGACACAACACCGTAATTCACACAACCACTTGATAAACTACAGAAACTCGAGACTTATCGCCACAGAAGACAACACTCAATACCGAAGAATCCTGGAATCATCACTTATTTCTATATCCGACAACTTCAACCAGAATAGTGGCTTCTATAACATAGCTGAACCACTTGCCAAGAAACTTCTTCATCGCTATCCCACATAAGAACACAGGAATGGAAGAACACTGTAGAAGGTCTGCTCACAAACTTATCCAATCTCCTTTCCAAGCTACCCAAGATTTTAGACTCTATAACCCCACTCGGTACATCATCAGATGCAGCATTCTCCACCTGACCTCAGCATTCTGAACCTGACTATAAATACTCGCGTCCCTTCCACCCCAGGTAGATCTGTTTGTGACTTGAAAAAGCCCAATGTGTGGGCGAAACGTAGTCAATAAAGGATCACATTATACTGCATATGTGTTTATATTTCCATTGTGTCGGTATTTTATACCATTTA